GCCGGGATCGTGGGTTCGAATCCCACTCAGGGCATGGATGTTTGTGTGCGTTTTTCTGTGTCTGTGTACAGGTAGAGGCCTTGCGACGAGCTGATCACCCGCCCAAAGAGTCCTACCGAATGTGTAAGATCTAGAAAAACCGAAGTGAACGGAGAAGTTCATGGAGGTAGGCCTAGGCCCACTGGAGCTGTAATGGCAAGGAAAAAAAAAAGAAGAATTTTGAAGGAAGGAGTCGTGATTTTCTTCGAAGTAATTTACTGGCACTCATCCGAAGAGGCTGAAATAATTAATAAAAATACCAGTCTAGTCAGGGAGTCATGCGGTAACGTAGTTAGTTGAGGAACTATGCTACAAGCCGGAAGGTCGCGGTTTCAAGTCCCGATTTTCTTCAATGGACCTAATCCTTCCGGCCGCACTGTGGCCCTGAGGTCGACTCAGCCTATAACAGAAATGAGTACCAGTAATTAATTAAATAATTTTCCTGGGGAGTAAAGCGCGGCCGGCGCGTAAGGCTGACAAATTTACCGCCATCTTTGAGCCGATTGTCTAGATCACGTGGGACCCTCAACGTCTCACAACCCTATGGGCCTCTATGGACTGTTACAGGGATAGCTACACCTTTTTCTTTTTACTTTTTACCAGTCTAGTCAGACCATAACATTAGTGAGATTTTAACAGGATACTTAACTAATGACTAGAGCATCTCACCGCTAAACTAACCTGCTCCATACATTGGAATAAAATTATTCGTCTGGATTAATCACATTATACATTGATTTATGAGCATGTTACGTTTAAAATTAACATTTCTGTGACCAAAGCGCTTTATTCAGTAGACTAATATAGATATGAAAAAGGATTATACTGTTTTTTGCAAAAGTAAATAATATAAAAGTTATATTGTGTTTCTCGTGCTTGAATTCATAATTTACGTATGGGATAGAAGTTTTAAATCCATCTGCGGTCCAAGATCATGTTTGCTCATGTCGGCTCCAGATGTATTAACAACCCCATTGGACAATTTTTCCTCCTGAATTTGAGTGTGGTATAGGCCTGCAGATGAAACGTCCAAGCAGACGCAGGTACATGACAGTTCATTTCTACTTGTTCCAATTTGCGCATCAAATTGTTAGCATGTGAGGCAGTAGCGCTGGGAGGACTCTGCAACAGTGTGTTCTATAATAGTGAAACCTATTATAACAGAATTCCAAGACAAGCGAATACTTGTTTTATTTCGGACATATTTTCGTCTAACAAAGCCATTTATTCTTGATAAAGAGAATGCTGGCTAGTTTACCTACATTCCTCATGTATTTAATTCAAATCACAAGTCACTAACTAATCTGGCTTCAAGGTAGCATTTCTCTCACTTAATCGGGGCCGAGACACTTATTAAGCTAGGTTCCTCGAGCTTTTCCTCCGTCCCCCTTGTATACCGGGATGCTTTAAATTATCTCTTTGCTAAAGCAAGCGTCACGTAACTTCGAACAAGGACAGGAGTAACTTCGAATGCGCAGAAGAAAAATTTCAGACAAGGGGGTCGTTTCGAGGGTGTGAGAAGTGATAGGCGGCCAACCTTGCGCATTCAAGGTTTGCTTTACCAGCCCTTCCTTCCACGTCCTTTTCAATCCGCTATTCAGCACCATCCAAATATTCGACATTAAATAGGCTTAGTGACAGCATCGTTAAATAAACAAAATTAAGTAATAAACACACATATACATACACATGCGTAGGATATTTACCCTGAAAGAAACAGTATAGAGGGGCAGAAAAATTATTTGGTTTGTATGGGGCTGAAACTTGGACACTTAGGGCAGTAGATCAGAAACACCTGGAAAGCTTCGAAATGTGGTGTTGGAGAAGGATGGAGAAGATCAGTTGGACCGATTATGTGAGAAATGAAGAAGTGTTAATTAGAGTCAGTGAGCAGAGGAATATCCTACACGAAATAAGAAAACGGAAGGCTAATTGGATTGGTCATATCTTACGCAGTAACTGCCTTCTAAAAGAAGTTATTGAAGGAAAGACAGAGGGGGCGGATAGAAGTGACCAGAAGACGAGGAAGAAGACGTAAGAAGATACTGGATGACCTTGGGAACAGAAGAGGATATTCTCATTTGAAGGAGAAAGCTCTAGATCGCATCAAGTGGAGGAACTGTTTTGGAGGAGACTGTGGACCTGTCGTCTGACAGATTACTGATGAATATGAATGACGAGATAACAGATCAAAGGCACATCTTCAGGAGTCTGATTTGGCAACTATTTGTCGGAATGCTGGTTTAGAATATATGATTCTCTCAAATAAAGCTCCCACACTTCTGATCCCATTCTGCGTTATGCATCATTGTGAGACTGACTCCTCTATAATGGTCAACATTAAACCTAAGGAAAGGAATAGACAGTATTTCAATAATATATTGAGACGTGCATTATCTGTGATAAGACTTTATATTTCGAAGCTGCTCAAGCAAAAGCAGCTTCAGCTTTCACACAGATAATTCCGCCCGAATTATGATATTTGTGCTGTTTCATTTTCTGCATCACGAATCTAACATGTAAAAGTAAAGCTATCCCTGTAACAGGCCGTGGAGGCCCATAGGGTTGTGAGACGTTGAGGCTCCCACATTTTCTAGACAATCGGCTCATAGATGGCGATAAGGTTGTCAGCCTTACGCGCCGGCCGCCTTTTACGTCCCAGGAACATTCCTGGTACTCATTTCTGTTAGAGGCTGAGTCGACATGCCATAGTGCGGCTGGAAGTATTTGATAAACTGAATAAAAACCCACCTCATCGGGACTCGAATCCGCGACCTTACGGCTTGTAGCATAGTGCCTCAACCAACTACGCCACCGCGTGTCCCCGAATCTAATATGTAGTAAGTTTAACACACAAGGGCCGCGCCAAAGATCAAGCGGTTAGTCGCTGGCTTCCCACCGCGACGGCCCGGGTTCGATCCCGGGGTCTGGTCAAGTGGGATTTGTGGTGGACGAAGTGGCGCTGGGGCAGGTTTTCTCCGAGTACTTCGGTTTCCCCTGCCAATCTTCATTCCACCAATTGCCCCACAGTCACCCTCACCTATCACCTGAGGCTGGTACAATAGGCCAGAAGTGGCCGCAGTACAAGGGACTTAGTCCCAACCCACTGGCAATAAAAAAAAGTTTCATACACAACGGTTGATCAAAGATGTTCAAAGTAATGCATGAGAAAATGAAATACGATGAAGATGATTTATGATAATTTTCTTTCTGTCTGTTGCAATTTAAAAGGTAAGGGGGGGGGATTTCGGTTCGTTTTTTAAGTTAAAGGGGTGTGAAACCAAAGAGGTTAAGAAGCACAGAATAATGTGAGATTTCGTCTATGCACTCTTGATTGCCCGAATATATCTTAGCGTTCCTAGACAGCTGGTGGATTAGTACGTAATTTAACGGTGCTGTATTGATTGCTGAGGTTATCTAGTGCCGAGTGAGACATGCGGGCAGTTACGAACAATGCACTGGAAAAAATGGAATAGGACAATGTCGGGGCCTATTTAATTTTACGGAAGTACTGAAGAAAATCATTATACCAATAGGTGCCTCAGCTGAGATAAAAATCGGGCACTTCTTGGGCTAGCGCATTCGGTATAGCGACTGGCTACGGGCTGGATGACTGAGGGGTTGGAGTTCCAGGCTCGGTGGGGTAAAAAATGTTTTCTTCTCTGCGTCGTCCACACCGGCTCTGGAGCCCACCCAGTCTCCTATCCATTGGGTACCGGGGGCTCTTTCCCCTGGGGTAAAGAGGCCGGGCCGTGAAGCTGACCACTCACATCCAACTAGTGCCAAAAATGTGGATCTATATATCCACTCTTCCATTGGCTTTCATGGCGTAGTGCCTAACTAGTTAAGCACAGGGGAAATTTTACATTTTACCTTACCTTGACTGTTTACACAAGACACGCTGTAGTTTCAGCTAACCTGTTGTCGCCGTTCTTTAATTCGATATTTATCGAATCAGATTAGCACTGTCGTGTGGACTGAGTGGAGGGGGAAGGGAGGCGAATCACCTTCAAGTTTGGGAGCACGGTTAGACATCGAACGTTCCGGGCTTCTCGCAACTTCCATAAATTCAGTGTGCCTCGTCTTCCGCGGCTGTAGCAGACTGATCAGCAAATCTAACCTGTATCAACTGCAGTCCCGAGGCAAGTAAAGCAGTGCATTGCTAGCATCTGATAAGCAGGGCCCGGATTTTGATGACATGTCATTCTTTTTTCCTTGTATCCAATGCGATGTTCTTAAATATATAAATCTCGCATATGAGCTGCTGGGTACTGAGATGTAATTTTTTGTCATTTTTTGACATTTTTAGGTTTAAGGTCATTTTTTCACTTTTGGGTTAATTTTTTGGTAACTTTTTGGACTTTTAAAGGTATTTCTTAGTCATTTTTGGCCATTTTAGGGAATTTTTCTTCATATGTTTTCTGAAATGTGAATAACATGGAAGCGAAGTGTTCTTTCTTTTCTCCTTTAGGTCATTTTCTGGATTTTTCCCGTCATTTTATAGGTCATTTTTTTAATATTTTCAGGTCATCAAAATCCGGGCTCTGCATATTACATTTTTGGGTCATATTTTAGGTCATTTTTCTGGATCTTTTCGGTCATTTTTTAAATATTTTCAGGTCATCAAAATCCGGGTCCTGCTGATAAGCAATTCTGCACCATCAAGCAAGCTAGTGAATGTAAACAGAACAGTGTACAAGACTACAAGTGTAATAGCTGTAAATTAGAACAAACTGACGTGAAGATCACATAAACTGTAAATAACTGCTCCAGAAGGAGATATAAATTACAATATATGGGTCGGCTGGGTCTATTAGGCTGCCTATATAAACATCACCTATTGCGAGATTTTAACTTCAGAACAGAGCTCAGTCCATCATGCATATCTGAGACTACAGGGTGGAGATTGCTTACTCACATTCTTCCGTACAGTACTTGTAGGTTGTATTCATGATACTTACCGTTAGGTCAGTCTTCAGTAACTCAATAAATTGTTCCCAGCTCTTTGTATCGTAGTTCACTCGATAATAGCCTTTTTGGTGATAGTTGATTTTAAACCACGTCGCATTGCGCGGAATTTCAATTGACACTGTGAAGGAAGACGAAAGAAATAACATTACACCACACTTTTAGAACAGAACCAACAGGAAAAACAAGAGTCAAGGTGGGAGTAGCCGATTTTATCATCATGTTATTTGTGTAGAGCACCCCCAAGTGTGGATGTGCATTTATTTGCAGTAATATGTCTACAGTTGATAGGTTATGAAGCTTTCAAGGATCTTGTTCCCGACCGAACCACGAGCACGAAACCTCTGACTATTCGAATGCACCCACTGACCTCTTTATGTCACGTGCTTGGCAGCCGACAGTTCACGCTGTCCAAATTGCTGCAGTGTGTTTCTCATACAACCCTCCCAATTCAAAGTAATCAAAATTAAACCTCTAGCTTAAGGGGTTCTAAAATAATATACCCAAATTATGCCACTTAATCGATCAGTTAATCAAAATTCCAAGGGCCTTGTCCACTATGGCTCACAGAAATTACTATATTTTAAATTGAATCAGCAATTGGACCACAAATACCCATGCTAGTGAGCATTTCTCAAGTCCTGGATAACGCCCAAGTTCGAAACTGAGGCAACGAGCCGTTAGCTTTCTCTCTAGGAATGTACGTGCCAGCTTGCGAACGGCACGCGTCATGTTAACCTCTGACGTGAAGACAGACAGAGTCTGAAACAGCGAACAGCAGCTCCATACTGACGTGGCTGATATCCAAAGATTCTTACTTCATTGTGTATTTAATAGGGGTAATCATCGGCAGAAATACTGACAATCTGGTGTCAAATTTTATGCCAGTCATAAAATTAATTAAGAGCAGAAACATCACCCTCCATAACCCATAACACGTCATGCAGAGAAATGTTTGAAGTTTCAGACTGTGGGTACAATTACATCATTTAACCATTTCTTTTGCCGGTCACGGTAGCCGAGCATTCTAAGGCATGCACTCACTGTCTTTGCTCGCTCGGAAGCCGGGATCGTGGGTTCGAATCCCATTCATGGCATGGATGTTTAGTGTTTGTGTGTGTGTGCTTTTTCTGTGTTTGTGTACAAGGCCTTGCGACAAGCTTGATCACCCGCCCGTGGAGTCCTACCGAATATCTAAGATCTAGTAAACCGAAGTGAAACGGAGAGTTTCATGGAGGTAGGACAAGGCCCAATTTGGGGCTGTAGCGCCGAAAGGAAAAAAAAAATCTTTTATGTTGAGCCATTCTGGGGAAACACGAAATTCGATTTGAGTTTTCTGAACAGCATGGCCAGATAAGGAACAAAATAAAACTCGCCAAAACAGATTACGGTACAACATAAGCCTTCCACCCATGCTGGATTCTTTTTAGCTGTTTTGGAGACTTATATTTGTGGAAATGTCATTACATTCCATTTATCGTGGTGCGAGATGAAGCCGCAGAGGGGAGACGCTGTCTCCCTGTGTGTGCTTATGTTACATAGTGAGTGAGAAGCACCTGCCTTGTTCGTTTCAGTGTGGAGAAAACCACCACCACTTTCGTTAACTTCCGCTGAATCCGCTCTATGACGCTGACTGCACGAACAAACTATATCAGTCTCTAATTACGTTACTCATTCAACAAGCGGCATTCCTTATCGGGTGTCAGCAGTTATTACGTAATTCAATATCGCACATGACAAATTACCAGTCGACCACTCGTAAAGGATTTACATACCGAAGCTAGTCTCAAGACTGCAAGTCACGAAATGCTGCAATGTCATATTCATGGCATGTTTATTCGGTTTTGCTTGATTATCTTAAAAAATGAATGCCTTATATGAAAGGGTTTGTTTATTTATTTATTTATTTATTCCTTTTGTTCCCACTTTGGAGCATAAGGTTGATTTCTCAGTTTCATCGATCATTTTTTACAGACGGTAGGACTCCTCGGACAAGTGATCAGCCCGTCGCAAGGCCGCTACCTACACACAGGCTAACACAAACACAGAATAAACGCATACACACACATCCATGCCTTAAGTGGGATTCGAACCCACGATCCCGGCTCCCGAGCGAGCGAAGACAGTGCGTGCCTTAGACCGCTCGGCTACCGTGACCGGCACATAAAAATTGTATTAGGCATAAAATATATTGTCACGTGTATTAGTGACTAAGACACGGGTTTGGATTGGTTAATCGGTTTATTGGATCTTCAGTAGTCATAAATACAATTAATTATTACACTATTGCTGATTTACACAATTTACAATCACTCCACACTAATCCTCTCGGTCTGTTTCCACTAGTCTTCACTCTCCGTTTACTGGCAACAGGTTTATAACACAGGGAATATAAAAGTGTCACTTAAGTGACACACTTCCAATATCGCTGTACTACAGCACATGTAACGTCACACACTTAAGTCTTCTAATTCTTCTTGTGGCCACACTGCTGTTCCCTTGGAACTTGGGAACTCAAGTGAAGTGAATTCCCATTCCCGTATCCTCTTATATCCTCCCGACACGGACCACACACAGAAAACACAGTCCCTCTATTGTTGCATGTCGCAAACCACACACGCAACACGTGTCACATGTCAGACTGCGAGTTCATTCGTCCGTTAGCAGCACTGAGCGTGGCGCGGACGACATAGAAAACATAGCCTCATCTATTGATGCGTGTTGGACCGTGTTTACAGTGCTGTTGCCTAGCAACGCGTTGATCAAATCCGTTAAAATATGTTTAATCCTTCTGTACCTGGTTTGTTTGTACGTTCTATCGCTGTGGTATTTTGCGAGACACTATCGACATGCGACCAGACATGCATATTAGTCTCCATGTAAAGCGTCCAGTAGTACTGTCTGATTTTGACAATAAATGCAGTAGAACTTCTGAATATCAGATTTCATTAAATCCCTTGAGCAAATCTCGAGTTTTTACATGAGGAAAGACGGACGAACAGTCATGGCGAAGCTCAGAGGCGCATTTTTCAGAATTCCACGTGTGTTCCTCGCGGTTTCACGTAACTTCTTGGCCCTTACAATTATTAATTGCTGATATGACTGCATACTTCGCAGCACAGTAGGAGAACGCATTTATGCAAGTATATTCTGGTACTCACCTGAAGCGGCATCACTGTGTAGCCACGTTCTGCTCACAGCCTTTGATTGTGAGGTGATGTAGGTGACTGGAACATCCCACCTGTACCTGCACCGGAAATGCAGTAATTAATGTGTGACCGAATATCAGTTCGAAGTAGTACAGAGTGGTAGCATAAATAGTAACAGCACAGCAGTCGTGGTGGTGTTGGTGGTAGTGGTAGTGGTAGTAGTAGTAGTAGTAGTAGTAGTAGTAGTAGTAGTAGTAGTAGTAGTAGTAGTAGTAGTAGTAGTAGTTGTTGTTGTAGTTGTAAATACATCGCTAATAAAAGAAACAGGGCGCCAAGAAACCTCTACAACAGCGCAACAGAACTAGAGGCAGGCCCTCTGTTAACGTGCTTCAACACTTCAGGCTGTAAAAGAAAAAGTAAAGTTATCCCTGTAACAGGCCGTGGAGGCCCATAGGGTTGTGAGATGTTGAGGTTCCCACATTTTCTAGACAATCAGCTCATAGATGGCGGCGAGGTTGTCAGCCTTAAGCACCGGCCGCCCTTTACTCACAAAGAATATTCCTGGTACTCATTTCTGTTAGAGGCTGAGTAGACCCCAGAGCAATAGTGCGGCTGGAAGGATTAGGTCAATTGAAAAAAAAATTCAATTACCTCATCGAGACCTGAACCCGCGACCTTCCGCCTTGTAGCATAGTGCCTCAACCAACTACGCTACCGCGTGCTCCCACTCTTGTCATTCAGTATCGCACCAAGTCTTAGGAATCTTGAGTTGGGCCAGTTGTGAAACAGGTGATACCGTTGCACTCTAGCGATTGCTCTCTTTGAATAGTTCTTGGCTACTAGTGATTAGGCTCGATTACAGAAACTGGTGTGTGTGTGTGTAATACTGGGATAACCTATGAATAGTAGGAGAGTTACTACGTATGAGAGGCCTTATCCTAGCTCAGGCGGATAATCGCCAGCTTGCCAAGGCGGCGGTTTGGGTTCGAACCTGGGTCAGATCCTGTGGGATTCGTTCTGGACAAAATGCCATTGGGGCAGATTTTCATTAAGTACTTCAGTTTCCCCTGTCAATTCTCATTGCACTGACTGCTCCACACTCATCATCTATCATCCTAGGCCGGTACAATAGGCCAAACACAGGCCGATGTATTAAGTGGACTCAGTCTCACACCATCCCACGAAACTTAAAAAAAATACTACAAATGAAGTGACTGACTCATTGAGTTTTCTGCAGTAATGATGGCTACTGCCATTACTCACCCATAAGGTGAATTGTCGGTAATGTTGGCATCCTGATCAAACAGGAAACGTTCTTGCTTCAGAGTGACGGTTCCATTTGGGTCACGTGTCGCAGTGACCACAGGATACCCCATCTGGCGGGTCCAGGTGTCCATGACGCGGGTGATGTTCACATCCTTTCGCGCTTCTTGTAACTCATTCCACAGATCCTGAGTCACGGCGTTTCCAAACTTGAAATGGTTAAGAAAATTGGTGATGCCGTTTTTAAAGTCTTCTTCGCCCATGAAATCTTCAAGCATTCGTATCACCGACGCTCCCTTTGAAGGAAACAAATATCAGATCTAAACAAAAGCTTACCCTTTGTGTTAGATTGCATCTGTGCTGAGAGGTTGTGCCCGTGCATGACAGCGTGCCTGTCTTCCCGGGGCCGCACATTCTCAAAGAGGATCTTGTAGAAAAATCAAAATTGGCCCAACATGCCTATGAAGAAGGTCATTGGCTAGGCTGGGATGAAGCCATGATTTTGGAAATTGAAAGTAGCAGCAGGTATAGGAATCAGTCATAAGGTATGTAAGATTCGAGGTTTTCACGGCGGTAACCAAGAATAATGCCGTCTTCTAGAATGTGGCGTCATGTAGATATTGTGCAAACCGACGTTTCGGAGGAACGTATCGCCTCCATCTTCAGGGTATAAAAATTCGTGAGCGAGGAACCAGCGTGAACAGATAGCTCCTGGATGGATGATGGAGGCGATATGTCCCCCCGAAACGTCGGTTTACACAATATCTACACGGAGCCACATTCCAGAAGACGGCATTCTTTGTCATGAGGTATGTTTAACCAATCCGATCAGTCAACCCAGTCTGGATCTTTCTTCCATATGAATCCCCTTTATCAGCTATGAGGTTAGGAACTCGCAGGCAAGATCAGTATCAGTCAGTATCGTCTGCTGGATTCTTCATACGGCCTAAGTTCCGGGGTTCGTTTATGTTTCAGAGATGGCTCTAGCAGTAGATGAGAGTATTTTTACGACATGACTGGTCTCAGTATGAAATTTTCTTCATAAATAACGCGGACGGTGAAAGACTCAGACTCATATCACAGGCCTTGTGTCTCTGTAAGCTGTTAGGAAGAATGGGTAGCAATCGACTCCTGTGGTTCTTGGAGCACCACCAAAAGTTCCCGGACTCTCAGTTCGCCTTCAGCAAAAGTAAATCATGTACAGATAACCTAAGTACAATGTATGGTGAGATCATTAAGGACCCCATGAAAGACAACGAAACAACATCGACCTTTCTGGACGAGAAAGCTACCTACAATAACGTACTCCGTTCATCCTGGACGAAAGGCTAAGAAACGTAGGAGTTCCTTCCCGAACCTACGAGCCTTGGTCTGGCAATTGGGATCCAAAAGAGTGCTTCACTTCAAACATGGTGCCCTAGATGAAGTACCCATAACACATAGGGGACTGCCTTAGGGAAATATGTTAAGTCCCATTATGTATGTCATCTACACCTCACAACTCGGAGACAACCTTCCTCCAGGCTGCAGGATAATTGAATCTGTTGATGACTTGTGCCTCTTCAGGTCAGTAGCATCGCTAAAAGCAGCCATAAGGATCATATAATGACTCAGTAAAGCCGACGAGGCACTGCAGACCCTAGACCTGGAAATATCACCTCAGAAAACCAAATTCATGGACTTCGACCCAAACAACAAAGACTTCTGCAAAAAACGAATGAGTAAGAAGGAAAAGGACCGTGACAACTGCAGGTCCATTAAAATGAGAGACAATGTTGTTCCTAATTCGGAAGAGGGTACATTTATAGGACTGCCTCCTCACGCAGCTCTGAAATGGAAACAGTGCACATACCGCGAGAGAAACGGCTGGAGCAACTGACATCCTAAGTTGGCTGAGACACACATGTTGGGGAGCCGATCCCTTATTCCAGCCAAGGACACGAAAGGTCTGTGGGGGAAAAAATCCGAAGTTAAATCCCCGTTGTGGTGTCAGGAGAGGGAACGGGTCAGGGGACAGCAATACTGTACGTTGCTCCTTGATAACGGCCCCGACCCCTGGTTTACCAAAAGCAAACTAAATAGAAGCAAAATGACCTCAATCTGCTGCCTCCAAGTTGTCACACAGCCCTGGCGCACAGTCTGGCACGTTTTAATATCGCTCCAAATAGGATCTGCGCATGCGAAACATCTGAAGAAGCCCCAGACCACGTCTTCTGGCAACGTCAGAGGTTCACAAAAGACAGGAAGAACTTTACCAAAGGGCTGCTAAAAAGATTGAACACGCTTTCCCTCAGAGTGGACATGGTTTTCAGCAGCACAGGCCCAAATTTTGCTTACGTACTCGGAGCCTTCGTCAATGCAATCAAGATAAGTGTGTAAAACGTTCGTGAACCTACAGCAACCACCGTCAGCATTAATGTGAATCCAGACCAAAGTACAACCGTACTTGATAGGGTAGACATATAGGAAGCCACAACAATATAGGGTTCGCACTATGTGACACCGGAAACGGGTTTAGTTCTTAGTGTAAGATAAGCTATTATGTGAATAAAAATAAAAGCGAAGCGGTGCCGATATTAATAGAGTTCCATCCCCAACGCTCTAACTAATACCGCGCTTTATTTATGCCAGTAAAATTAATCTTATGCATTGGCGTTTATGGATCTGGTTTGTTGTTTCGTTTTTTCTTATTTAATTTACAGTTCCTTTTCTATCTCATTTTCAGGTCTGTACATGCATTATCACAATTTTTATTGTAAGTTTCTTGTTATCTCACGTTGACAAACCTTTATCTCATATATATATATATATATATGTGTGTGTGTGTGTGTGTGTGTGCGTTTCTNGGGACCCAACTGAGCAGATGTCTCCCCCTCACTTGAGGTCGGAAACATCCAGTTTCCGACACGTTGTGTTCTTTAGAACGTTGGACAATGTCCAAAACGCCAGTAATTCGAGTGTTATGCAACATCGTTATAACCTTCTAGACTCTGACTCCACTACAGGACAATTGTGACGTACGTATGTCTGCTTTTGTATCTGCTGTCACGTGATGATAGAACCTTTGCGTTTGTCAGTCATTAATAGATCTACTGTTCTCCTTACTAAGGATCTATAGAAGCCCTTCGACACGTGCCGAAGTACGTAACTTCGTGCAAAGGACCACAGACGCATAAAAGTACGCATGTTTTACTTTGCTGACCGGGTAAATGAGCTCACCTTACTGTACGAGATGGTGTCGAACAATCCTGTGATTTCATCTGGGTGAGCCACCGTCTGCACGATGGGATGCGATGTGACAGACGCATCCAACATTAGCACAGGATGCAAGTCATCAATCAGGAACTGGTCTAGCTGTCAGAGGAACACAAAAGGAGGCGGTCACAAATCATCTAATAAAAACCCAAATTTTAAAAAACAGGCAAGGAGCGATACTAGAAGAAGCTCAACGCGTGACGTATGTAAAATAATGCTCATAATTTTACGCTGGGCCATGTCATTCACAACATTGCATTGCTCTATTTCAGGCATGTCCAGTTTCAAACAGATTGTGATCGACTTTTAGTGTCAAAACTGAAAGTGATCTACCACCCCCTCCTATCGTGTTACCTCGCTTTAAGCAAAAATATTGGTAAAAATAACACGACACATAATGCTTTTGTAAAAACAACATGCATTGAAAGTACAGACTACTTTAATACGTACTTTCCCTTCAAAATCTGAATATAATCATATTATATTACATGCTTTTCACGTATAATTTCCTTATGGCCTATGAGATCGACCAAAAATCATCCCGCGATGAATGCGTCGGACATGCCTGCTCTATTTGATACTGTGTATGAATCCGATAAATATGGCAGGAGTTTTGTAAATATTCAAGGCGGTGAGTATATACAGTGTTGTCTTTTGAGTTTCGAAGACATTTCGGACGAAAAAGGTCTCTCCATCTTCAGGGTAAAGTGTTGACCCTGACGACCGTGGCAGCATGTCACGTGTTTAGTGACCACACACTGGGTTGGCCTGATAAGGTTTACTTCTCGTAACTACTATAACGACAATAATCTCACTCATTTGCATACTCTAAATCACTAAAAGCACAGCACATGTAAAGTCCTCTGTTCACTAGTCGTCGCTAGATAGCGGCTTCTAACAATGCAACTCAAGACTCGCTGGACTGTCATTAGGGTAAATAGTTTCCGGTCCTCCCAGCACAGCCATTCTTGTTTCCGGTTCCGGTTCCGGCGGAACTTATGACCTATTTTACTGTCTCACGGCTCTGAGAGTCGGTTGGTCGGGTAAATTACTGCTGGTACTCGCCAGCATGGCAACGGACGCCTCCATTTTTTCCATTATTTCGGCTTCCAACTGCCATATCACAATATGAACCCACAGGACTACAAGCTGTTGCAGCCCAGAAGACCACATTTTAAGATGTGGCAGAGTTCAAATTCTGGGGAATGACAAGGGAAAAAAATAAAAATTTCAAATTCCAAATGACGAAGTTAAAGCCAGATTATATTCAGGAAATTCTTGTTAACAGTAAGTTCAGAGTCTTATATAATTTTGCCTCCTATCTAAATCGTAAAGATTAATATTATAAATAATTTTACCTGTTGTTTTATGTGTTTGCTCTAAGTGAATGATCAAAAGTGAGTATGTTTCGTTAGAAAATGCCGCGAGGAATATTCGGACATGTCTGTGTAACACAGGGCTAGGAAAAATTATACAGCGGAGGTCTTTGTTATGTGTACACGATCAAATCGAGGAGGCTGAGAGGGGCGGAGTACGTAATATTTACGGGGAATGAGAAATGCATACAAAATGTAAATAAAAAAGATAAAAGAGAAGAATTGGAAGACCTAGGCATGGATGGGGAACTAATATTAAGGTGAATCGTAGTGAAATATGGTATGACGTGGGTTTGATTAAACCGGTTGAATATAGGTGGCTCAGTAATTCAGTGATTCAGTATTGAGGGAGTGGGTTTCCCCATGCACCGCGACTGATAGTCTATTGTACGTCCCCCTTTTAATTTCTACAGTCTCCATCCCCTACCGGTACTGGTGCTCGCTATCTGCCCCTTTCTGCCAGCGAGGTTTCTACCCTCTACTTGGCAGTGGTATCTAATAGTTAGTCCCTTTCTGTCAGAGAGGTCGTCCCTCCTCTGGCAGTGGTACCTAATACTTCCCCATCTACCGGAGGCATTGAAAACTACTTTGGGCGGGAAATGTTGGGCCTAATTTAGCTCAGCGGCCTCTCAGAGACATGAGGTTCTTTTACGTGCCGTAAATCTACGACACGGGACACACGGCTTAAAGTCCCTCCCGGAGGACTTGTTCCCTGAATTTTTCCGCCCTTAAAAATTCCACGACCTCCGCCGGGTTTTTGAACCCGCGTACCTTGAGTCATGAGGTAGGAACGTTACCCCTAGACTACGGAGGCCGCTATATATAGGGTGCTTACTTTGACGAAGGCAGTGAGTCACAGATTGATAACAGTAGGCAATGTCTTGACCATTTCAACAGTTGTCAGCTTCTGAAGAAAGTACCCACAATGCATAGGCCATCAGAATGCAATTCATGTGCCTACCATTTCTGCTGTAAAAGTTTCATTATTACACTCTGTGTATCTACTGGAGTTCATTATGATATTTAAAGATTTTCACTGAGATTTATAAGCGAAATGACGTTTAATTTTCGTTCTCTTATTCATTTAAACTTTTATGAACTTATTAACGTAATTAGAGTTGAGCGTTACTCGTTACACATTTATCCCAGTAAAAGAAGTTTCGAAGGAAAAGCTAAAGGTAAAAGTGAAACACGTTTTATTTTCAACACAATTTTTCCACGAGTCTTACAGTTTTGATACAAAAATTGCTGATCTCAGTTTGTATCAAGTTAACTACGCGGAGTCTGACACAGAAGGTGTACAGAAATTTTCGATGGGCTTTGAATGCATTACAGATGCACATACGGAATGCAATCTTTCAAATCGTGAAACATGAAGACGAATGTATCGCAGAATTTGTTACATCCGTATAAAACACGTTTGACATTGTAGTGCTTCATTTGCAGCAACTACCCGTATTCTAATATGAAATAGAGAGATCGGTCATACTGAAAATAGTTTTGGTACTTGGACGGTACTCCCATTTCCACCGCCCGCAGCGTACCGTCTTTGTCTCATATCCGAGAGAAGCAGCCCACAATCCGCCGTCTTTCCTCCGTGAACAGAGAGTGATAAGGAGGCACCAGCAGAACAACCCTCTTTGTATACATTCCCAACGTCAGTTTTAATATTCACTTTTTAAAAGACGTATTGTGTGTTCTCGATAGCTTGATCTGATGGGGAAAATTAGCGAGTTTTCCATCCCAATAGTCCCATCCGGAGGGGTGGGGAGTTTAATTTATGATGCTTTTAGACCCTTTAATTTTGAACCGCTTCTGTTGTCTAGTGGTCAGAGTTCGTTTCCCGACGCTACCAGATTTTTTTTCTGAGAACATGGTCCCCTCAGCCTCGTGATGACAATTGAGGAGCTATTTCAAGGAAATAGTGACTCCGGTCTAGAAAACCGAAATTAACGGCCGTGGGGATTCGTTGCGCTGACCACGCGACACCCTCTATCCGCTAAAGTTGCCACTAAACTTCGCCGACAAGCGGCGGTCGCTCGGTCCGTATAGTTCGCTTGCGGACTAAAATCACGGAGTTTGTTTTGTTGATTCTGTATCATCGAAGAAGGAAGGCGGAAGAACTAGGAAGGATATGAAATAAGGCGGTCGTGTCCTCTCAGACAGGACACCCGGTCTCTCGGCCGAGATTTAAACCGGGCAACTCTGGAATACAGATCTTGAGCAATATCGTTACGTCAGCATGTTCGGATCCTCTGGTATCGCTCGTTCCTGTTCTCGCTGTATATTTTTTCTCTTCGTATCAGTGGCTAAGACGTTAATTTGGCCAAAAACAGTGTACTTTACGAAGTTAAATCAAGATCTGCTCATGTTCTGAAGTTCCAAATCCTATAGAGTGTGGTCGCCTTGAAGCTTCTAGCAAATCGTTGAGCTACTGAGGCGTGTCTTGCGCGTCACCCGTCCAGTCGACCCGTGGAGGTTAGGATTGCTAGCGGAATCGACAAGCCTGCAGCCTAACACACTGTAAATAGAACTTACCCAGATTACATCAGATTCTGGAAATGTCCCTTATTGTCTGTCGATTCGGCTAGTAGGGAGAATCTCCGCGGTCAACTAAACGGGAGCAGCGGCAGTTTCTTCCGTCTGACGGCTAAGCGATTTGCTGGAAGCTCAAAGATGAACGCACTGTATTTACTGCCCTTTGAAGCGCGAGATTATTGTACATAACGCCTAAAACTTTAGCTTCTATGATTTCTGAGAATGAAACACATGAATGAATTCTGAGGGCAAAATCTACATTTCTTTTACTAGATTCTAAAGGGTTCTGACAATGGTATATAACACTCAGGATTACGGAGTTTTTGGACTTCGTCGGTAGTCCGATATTCTAGAAATTAGAAAAAACGTTTCGGAAACTGGATCTCTTTCTATCCTCAGGTGAGGGGGTGAGGGTGTGATACTCCTACTCTGTTGGGTCCCTTAGAAAGAGCTAACTTCAATCACTGAAGTAGGTGTCTCCCCCCTTTCACCTGAAGACGGAAACAGATCCATTTTCCGAAATGTCGTGTTTTATAATTTCTAGAATATCGGACTATGCACAAAGCCAAAAACCTATTAATTCTGACTTCTCTTAATGCTAGAGTAGGGGCTATATTTAATAACCACTGCGTTTCGAAGGATTCGTCAGCTAAACCCAGGTCAGTTTCGGGAAGGTGACCATATTGGATCACATGACATGTGCATATACATACTATCTGCCAGTCCGGCTGGGCGTGGTTCACACCTTTGTACTCCACGTAGCTGGCAAAGCCTTCATTCAGCCAAAGGTCGTCCCACCATTTCAGCGTCACTAAAATTAAGATATAAAGTTGAAACTGCTCAAGAAATATTTTAATTTAATTCTTGAGAACATTGTGCGGCTCTTAAAATGGCCCATTTAAAACTGCGTTTTTCTCCCTCTTAGGATTGTCTTAAATAGTGCTTCATAACACTAAAAATATGCTTACGGACATTTTGTGGCCCATATGTTACAGCACACTGTAACATTTAAAATTATTTATTCATATTTGTATTATAATTAATATGTTACAGCACTTAAAGACGAAACATCTGAAATATTTCTATATGTTTCTGACACGTATTATAAACAAGAGTTCATATGTTTTAAAGTGTGTTGGTTGTTGGTGTTTTAAAACAGAGTTTGTGATATTTAAACTATATTATTTGTGTATGACTTAGCTTCTACCTATCACTTTATATCATCCAGAATGAAATATTCATAAGACGTTTTTCTGAAACATCAAGACATGTTTGGAAAATAGAGTTTATGACATTTAAAATATATTATTTGTGTATGACTTAGATTCTACCTATCATTTTATGTCATTCAGAACGAAATATTCATAAGACGTTTTTCTGAAACATCAAGACATATTTGGCAGTACAGCGGTACACAATGTAAGAATACTGTCAGTTCGGTATGTCGCTGAAAACAGAAGACCACATATGGTATACAAAAAGCGTCGGTAGTTTCATGGGGTAGAAACTTTCCTGAAAAGCTAACAGTCGCTTACCTTCTCAAGATGTCTTCATTTGTTGCATCCTGTTGTGTGTTCCAAAAATATATAGGAATTATGTTAACCCTCAACACAACAAATATACTCACTTTTAATATTCGATCTTAATTACTGCTACATGTTTCGGTCGCACAAGACCATCATCAGACAGTTATACATAGGAACACGCGCTGTTATTGAACTACCGATACGGACCCATAGCAGTGCAATGTGTCGTATTACTAACATAAACTTTTGCCTCAAGTTGATGTTGCAATTAAAGTAGAAGATACATAAATAAGATAAAAGATAAATATAAAAGTATACCATATATCAAGATTTATAATGTGTTGAATATATTGTGTAAGTTTTGAGGTTTTCACGGCGATGACAATGAAGAAAGTTGTCTTCTGGGTTTAGGCACCGTGTATTCTTCGTTTTGGCCAAAACGAAGAATACACGGTGCCTAAACCCAGAAGACAACTTTCTTCATGTTCAATATATTATTAAAATATTTAAAATATTTTTAAAAAGTTTAAAAAATATATTAAAGGGTGTGTTTCCGTATTGCAGGTTAAGAATGTGTATGCCAACTTAAATATTTAAGGTTCCACTGCTACAGTGTAGAAAATTGGGCGTTTATGTTGTTTGTAGGTCTTTGTTGTTGAAAATTTCTACTTTGTAATCCCGGTTGTGGAGCCCAAAGACAAGTTTCTATGATGTACGGGTTGTGGTATGTGGTATATTGGTATGCTATTCACATAATATGTATCCTTATATGATCGTACACTATGGCGTGTGTGTTTCTCGTCTGGGCGTATATACGTTCGGTGTGTTCTACACCGTGCATTGGTTAAATTTAGATTCATGCAGCTTCATAGATATATATTCTCAAGATGTTCCTCGCATTTATATTTCCGTGTTCAGAAGGCCCTGCAACGGGACTATACGACTATATCGTACCCTAGCCTGACGAATTCAGTTCACATCCTCACGCCGTATTTTAATATTATCCTCCTAACCACGCCTGGGTGTCCTAAATCGTCTCTTCAATTGAGATTTTCCGATTAAAATGTTGTCTCCATTTATTACATTAAGTTTCAAGATTTCGTTTGGACTTAGTAGCATCTACGTAAGTGAACCCCAGTTCGTACTGCTGGAATCTCAGAAGTTCGGTGTTTGTGGATTTCAGTGCGTCTGTCGTTGTGATGCGTACTGATACTGCTTCAAGTTTATGAAGAACGACTCATTATAGGAAAGTGGTTGCTATAATTCTCACTGTAACATTCATGCAACAAGCTGCCTGTAATTGCACGGAAAATGCTAAAGCGCAGGTTCGTGAGTTTCACCTACTTTTTCTGCTTTACAAGCAAAGACTGTCAGTGACTATGTCCCATCTTCTAATATCAGAAAGAGCTGACTGATTTTCAAAAAAGTTTTTACCGTATGTAACTACATGCCAGTAGAGACTAACTCCCCCCCCCCCTTTTCTTTTTAGCTTCATAATAGGAGCCGGTATAGCGACTGGCTACGGGCTAGAAGACCAAGAGGTCTGAGTTTGAGTCCCGGTAGGATCAAGAATTTTCTTTTCTCCACGTCGTCCAGACTTGCCCTGGGGTCCAGCCAACCTCCTATCCAATGGGTACCGGGGGCTCTTTCGGCGGGGGTAAATCTGCAGGGGCGTAAACCTGACCACTCACCACAAAGTAGTGCCAAGGTCAAGAAAATATGGATCTATATATCCACTCTCCATTACGCCTTCATGGCGTAGTGCTTAATTAGCTAAGCACAGGGACAACTTTTTTTTTCCTTGGCACTACAGCCCCAGTGGGCCTAGGCCTACCTCCATGAACTTCTCCATTCACTTCGGTTTTTCTAGATCTTACACATTCGGTAGAACTCCTTGGGTGGGTGATCAGCTCGTCGCAAGGCCTCTACCTGTGCACAAACACAGAAAAACGCGAACACACAAACTAAACAGCCATGCCCTGAGTGGGATTCGAACCCATGATCCCGGTTTCCAAGCGAGCGAAGACAGTACATGCCTTAGACCGCTCGGCTACAGTGACTTTACCTTTAGTAATACTAACATGGCGGCTGTACGAACTTCCGACATGGGGGCTGCACCAGCGGCAGTAAATGGTCTTGAAACTTTACGTGGCAGTTGATATTTTTGGACGCCGTACGAAATCCACATTTAGCTTCGGTTTGATGATGGTAACTAATAAATCACTGGAGTTAGACAAGCTGATACTACACGGAGATATATTATAAAACTATGGTCATACCTAACAAACTTAACGTAACTGAAGCATACTCGTATACTCGTGGAAATTATTAATGTGTATTCGTAAGTTCCGACCAGAACTTCTTTCCATGCTGATTGCGTACTCCAGCTTACCCAGGTTTCCAAACCACATGTGAGCGAGTTCGTGTCCAATCACCGTGGCCACACGCTGTTTGTTGGCTGTAGAGCTGACTCCCTCTTCGTAAAGCAGAGTAACTTCGCGGAAGGTGACAAGGCCCCAGTGCTCCATAGCACCCGACACGAAGTCGGGTATCGCTGCCAGGTCTGTTGGTCACATTGAAGCACAATGAAAACACGACGACCAAACTTCCTCTGCAGTTTCAAATATTCATAATTGACAACAGGCGCCGCAAATATTACCTTGCGCCTTTATATACTGGTACAGTGAGTTTCTTAGAGCGCGAACTCGGGCGGAAGAGTCGGACGCTACTCCCGTCAAGTCGGACCGACTGAGTGGTATAACTTAGCTTCATAACTACGCTGTCTAGAAAACGCACTGTTCAGTACTCACGCTAGTGATAGGTTACAGTTCAGGCTCAGTTTTCTAGTTAAGTCTTGGCCTTTATTCGAACATCACTGGTAGAGCAACAGTAAAGTAAAGCTATCCCTGTAACAGGCAGTGAAGGCCCATAGGGTTGTGAGACGTTGAGGGTCCCACATTATCTAGACAATCGGCTCACAGATGGCGGTAAGGTTGTCAGCCTTACGCGCCGGCAGCGCTTTACTCCCAAAGAAAATTATTTAATTAATTCCTGGTACTCATTTCTGTTAGAGGCTGAGTGAACCCCAGGGGCATAGTGCGGCTGGAAGGATTAAGTCAACTGAAAAAAATCCAACGACCTCATTGGGACTTGAACCCGTGACCTTCCGGCTTGTAGCATAGCCCCTCAACCAAAGTAGCACATTAAAATGCTCACTAACTTAAACAAACACTTTCTACTTCCTTTCAATTGTAGAGAATTTCAGACATGGACCCTAATCGCCTGGAAGACTGTCTCTCCCTAATACTTACATCAGAAACAACAAAGAAACGGGTACATCTTCCAGATCACTTGCGCAACGTACTCGCTACATTTCGGGTCCAAGTTACTACAGAAGCCCCACCGTTTAATCGAGCATTATAAAATGAACCAAAATTTGGATAGCTCAGTCGGTATAGCGAATGGCTACGGGCTGGATGATTGAGGTATCGGAGTTCGAGTCCTTATAGTGTCAACAGTTTCCTCTTCTCTATATCGTCCAGCCCGGCATTGGGGCCCACACAGCCTCCTAGCCAATGGGTACCGGGGACTCTTTCCCCGGGGGTAAAGCCGCAAGGCCGTAAACCTCACCAATCACCCCAAACTAATACTGAGGTCAACAAAATATGGATCTATACATCTACTCCTCCATACGCCTTCATGATGTAGTGCTTACTTGATTAAGCACCGGGACAACTTTACCTTTTTAATTCTTTATAAGAGAATGCCCAGCTGCGCATATGGCAACATATTACAGACATATTCATTTGTACTGAATCCTGCACCAGTAATGTTTAAACACGCGAAACACTTGTGAATTGCACCAACAGAGTGCTATCATCTTAAGAGTTTCCCGTAAACTACTGTGCCGCTAAGTCGCTCTGTCGCCGTGCAGTTGGTTCGCGGAAAATCGGACTGTTAGACGAATCGACAAGTATATAGCCTAACAAATCATAAATCAAAGTGGAAATGTTCTCTGCTGTTACGTGCGCATTCGTAGCAGCTGTGTGCATTTACGCGTTCATGTTCCTTCTCGAAGATTGAGTAGACTTAAACCTCAGGATATTTCTGGGATTTTCAAGGGGAATATTTAGGCTTAGCGCCATTTCTATCCATTTCCTCTTCAGTGGGCAGTCGGAATTTGGATTTGTGATTCCCCCCCTTCTCCGTGTAACGAGCAGGTCTGTGCCAGATCTGAGCATTCCCTTGACAACGGTCATCACTTGAAGCATGTACCGTAGGCATGATCTGGAAAAGTATTTGTTAGGCTATTGGCTCGTCGATACAGTCCTAATCTCCGCTGGCGGAACAGACGGGATGAACTTGAGGCTTTTCCGCATGAACGGCCTATCGACTTGCGGGAAGCTCTAAATTAACCGCAATGTATGTACTGGCTAGTTTTCTATCTTCTTTCAGATCTATGTGTTCTACAGATGCTGAAGTTACTGAAACAACTAAAACTTTTGTTTTCTTTAAAACTACATACATAGGTTCTGATAAATAAGTAAGGATGAGGTTATCCCTGTCTTTCACCATCGCCATCAAGGCGTATAAACGAAAACTAAACAAATTCCTTGGCCTATAGTCCGCAAGCGAACTATACCGACCGAGCGACCGCCGATTGTCGGCGAAGTTACTGCAAATTTAGGGGATAGAGGGTGTCGCGTGGTCAGAGCAACGGATCCCTACGGCCGTTAATCTCGGTTTTCTAGACCGGAGCCGCTATTTCCTTGAAATATCTCCTCAATTACCTCACGAGGCTGAGTGGACTCCGTTCCAGACCCACTACTTCTCATGAAATCTGGTAGGGCCGGGAATCAAACCCGGGACCCCTGGATCTTTAGTCAGGAACTCTGACCACTAGACCACAGAGGCGGTCATTCAAGTGTATAAGGTTCACTTAAATAGAACTCCTCCCAATTTAGACCCCCGGCACTGCCGGCCGCTTTACGTGGTATCTCAGTGGAAATAGCTACCAGTACTCAGGTGGGTCCCAACGCCGGGCTGGATACCCCTCCCGGGGATAAAACCCTCTATTGTCTGCTTACAAGCCTGAACTCAATAGCCTCAGGCTCCCCTCCATTCAACAAGTGCGCCTGAAAGCTGCGTCGTCTAGGAGACTCACTGTGTCAGAAGCCCCTCCAGGCACTCACCTAGTTTGGGCAGAGGGTAGGGTATACCGAAATACTGGATATAATACTCGATAACATTAACACCGACTTGGGTTGCGTATTTCGTCTTGTTGAGCTGCGCCCGCGTTGAATAGACGCTTAAAGGGAATCCTTGAGACACAGTGACAGGGCTCAGACGCTCGAAGTCGCTCACGATGAAGCAGCTGAGGTATGTGACCATGGGGACTGACTCCCTGAACTCCACAGTCGTCAGGCCGAGTTCTGGCGAATCATCCACCACATTCTGCATTTAAAGAACAAATGAATCGCGCTGTTGATTTACAGTTTCGCTCAAATCGATATTTTGGTAAGTTTAATTGCGACTAACGAGTGTCTATGTCTGTTAAACTGACAACAGAATTCTACATGGTACTCGCAAGTTCGTAACAACTACGGGAACCAAGTCCACTACTAGATTATGTTCTGGGACAGTTCAGTTCGCATCTTCAGAGCTTATTTATTTTATATTTTCTTTACTATCCATGCATCTGTTTATAAAACGATATTTTTTAACCGAAACAAAATATGCACCGTGCTCCTCTTACGTACTGCATGCCCAGTCGACTTCATGCTTCTTCATGTAATTACTCTTAGCGCAGGAACTATCACGAGGGGGGCAGAGGGGTCATTTGGCCCGGGCCTCAAATTCGCGAAGAGCCTCAAATTTAAGCTTTTGATGTCATGCTTAACGTAAAATGTGATAATGCAAGAAAACAAAATGTTTCACAATAATCGGCTCATTTCCGCAGAATAAAGCTACAAAATCACTTGCTGAATAAAAAATGTTTATTATAAATTACTGCATTTTATTTTGGGTTAAAAGCCTTAAATTCTTAAATATAAACGTTCAAATATACTACAATTTTTGTAACCCTTTTTCGGCAAGCCCGGGCTTATCTCGGCCTCTGAGAGTGCCTGTCATTGGGATACTCTAAGACTGAAGTGTGTGAAGCCCCGAATTATATATGATTTACTTAATTTGCGTGCTACTTTATAACTTTTATATCAGAATAATATTTCAGCTCTTTCTTGTCTCCGAGACAATTCCGTTTCTCTCCTCTGTGTGTGACCACGTTCGCGAGAGCTCATTCGGATGAAGCAGTAGGACCGGTAACGTCTACGACCCTTTCATAGAAGCGCTGCCTACAAGAATCACTATTAAAAAAAAAATCCGTGATTTTAGTCCGCAAGCGAACTACACCGACCGAGCGACCGCTGCTTGTCGGCGAAGTTAGTACCAACTTTTGCGGATAGAGGGTGTCGCATGGTCAGCGCAACGGATCCCCACGGCCGTTAATTTCTGTTTTCTAGACCGGAGTAGCTATAGCTCCTCAATTATCATCACGAGGAGGAGTGGAACCCGTTCTAGACCCACTACTCTAAGAAAAAATCTGGTAGCGCCGGGAATCGAACCTGAACCTCTAGATCTGTAGTCAGAAACTCTGACCACTAGACCATAGAGGCGGTCATAGAGAACTACTATAGTTGTAAATATTTAGTTTTAAGATCTAAAAGTTTGTGACGATGCTACATTAGCACAAGTATTATGTTTTTGGACATTATCCATCTTCCAGCCTTTATCTAGAAACACTGTCCTGTTTATTGTTCGAAACACAACGTTTTGGAGACTGGAATCTCCGGACCGGAGACAGCTCTGTCGATTGGGCCCAACTGAGTAGGTTTTGCCTCAAGACGGAGACAGAGACGGGTTTTGAATAAAGACAGGACGATTTATCATCAGGGCCCGAATTTTGATGGCATGTCATATTTTTTTTCTTGTATCTTATGCGATGCTCTTAAATATATAAATCTCGTATATGAGCTGCTGGTTACAGAAATGTAAATTTTATAGGTTTTTGTCATTTTTTGACATTTTTAGTTCTAAGGTCATTTTTTCATTTTGGGGGTAATATTTTGGTAATTTTTTGGACTTTGAAGGGTATTTCTCGTCATTTTTGCCATTTTAGGGAATTTTTCTTAATATATTTTCTGAAATGTGAATAATATGGAAGCGAAGTGTTCTTTCTTTTCTCCTTTATGTCGTTTTTCTGGATTTTTTCGGTCAATTTATAGGTCTTTTTTAAATATTTTCAGGTCATCAAAATCCGGGCCCTATTTATCATATTTAGTTTTCTTTGTCACTCACGGTTTTAGTAATATCTACCACAAAAGCGGCCCCTGCTCTTAAGTCGGTATGTCAAAGACAGGCCAACATTTTCTGTGTGTTCCTACACACTCACCACTTGGTCCATGTTCGACAGAGCGATGTAGCCATATCGTGGCCTCACGAGGCGAACTTTGAAGGTGGGTTTGAATCCGGGTTCGTCAAAACAAGGATATGCCTGCCGTGCGTAAGTTGGCTGGAATTTGGACGTAGCAATTTTTCTGAAATAAAGCATGACATTCTTGAGAATTCATTTCATCAAATATACCTACTAATACTGGACTACAAAAAGGTCTTATCTCAAGGGGAATGTGGAATTATGGCTCACGAAGAAGATGGAATTTAGGAGGACCAATAAAAAGCTGAATTGACAAAACAATAATTTAATGGAGAAGAAATAGCTACTGAACCTAGTGCTTTCGACTTTCTTCGAAGGCGTGCCTAGGGGAGAGACAACTATATTTAAAATACCAGTGGTAATAATGCTTTGGTGTTCTTGGATGTGACGTCATGTAGGCTGGTGTACAGTTACCATCGTTTCAGAGGAACATTCTACTTCCATCATCAGGACTGAACGCTCTTTTCAACCAGACGAAGATGGCAGTATATTACTCCGAAACGTTGGTAACCAGCTACTCAGATACATCGTGATGTATCCCCCATATTCACCGCCGTGCGAATTTCTGAACTGAAATATCTGTGGTAGATAAGAATATCTCGGTATCGCATTCTACGTAAGATACAGAACGTCACAATTTAACACTTATAAATTCCGTTCCATGTTCTGGAGGTTTACGGATTTTTATGGAACCCGAAGGTTAAGTACTGTGTTCACAAGAGGCCGCCATTGGGTTACGTCCTGCGAGAAGAATCTATTGCACACCATCAGATTCCATTTCTCCAAGTTGTGCAATGTGATTCTAAATTATTGTCGAGGTTTCCGTGGTCTATAATTTTCAAACAACAAACAAACAGAGACAAAATATCTATGGAATGTGAAAATATAACTGAAAAAAGCTTTATTTGATAACTCTGTATGCGCCGCATTGATGTCTGGGATAAAATATGACGTCATACCTCGATGAACTGAAGATCAGAATTGTTGCTGCAGTCGAAAGGGTTACACAGCAATTGCTAGAGGACACTTGGAGGGGAATTGAATACCGCTTGGATATCTTAAGGCGCGTCACACATTACTCGTACTCGTGCTCGTGTGACTCACTATGCTCGCGAGTAATGTGAACGATATGACAAATCACGAGACAAGAAAATTTTTAATTTCTAATTTAAAAACTATAGCCAATAAATTAAAATACGATTACAGCCTATACACACTACGAGTAAATATACGGATCCTCACGCGCCGAAGCCTGGCGAGCAACTGAAGTAGTGTGGACTAAGATTTACGAGCACAAATAAAAGCCAGAGTAGTCTCCCGACGAGCACAAGCCTGGCAAGCACGAGCACGAGTAATGAGGGCGCGTCTTTACGTGCCACGAAAGGCGCGCATATTGAGATTGTTTAGCATTCCGCAGTAATGAGTCTGTAAGTAATAAAACATTTTGAGTTACACTTTCATATTCCGTAAGCAGTTTTCTTTTATTGTTTCCATTTTGTAAAAAAAAAAACAGAATCACCCTGTATATTAATACTTCCTCTCATCTACACCAGGATTCTCCAAGCGGTCTCTTCCCTTCGGTTTACCAACGAAATCTATTTAAAGGTAGAAAGTGAGAATTTTCAAACCTGTCCATGAAAGCAATTATGTGGTCGATATGCCCTGCCCATAGCTATGATACATGAAGCACCTGATTGCTGTTGAGGCCTGTGAACAGATATATGCGTTGGTGGGGGGATATTCTACGTCTTGTTCAAATGTGTGAGCTGTACCATAAGCCGTCCACGACGGTAACAGTACATCTGACTTGACGGGGCGACTTGGTACGGCAGGTGATGGCTACAGAGCCAGGAAGTGCACGGACAGAACAAGAATTTGTGTTACTGACACACTTTCACCTCACCTGAATGAAAGAAGTAGAGGCCGAACCAAGGTGTGTGCACTGTGGCAGAGCAAAATTAAGGGAGGGACAGGAGGAGCCATTCACTTTTAGTGATTGAATTTAAAGTGTTAAATCGCGCACACTGTAATCAGAGGTGGGTACTTCTGATTGAGTGAATAACAGACAGATGTCGCTCAAATTCTGTGTCGTATTTTTCAACAAACTCCCTCAATTGTTGAAGGTAGAATTTTCTGCGAATCTACTTAGTTAGTTAGTTATTGGAGAGGGTGGGTTTCCCCATGCACTTACACCAGTATTGGTCCATTGTGCTTCCCTCTATGATATTCTACCAGTCTCTATACCCTACCGATATTGGTGCGTACCATCAGTCCCGACCGAGCCAGCGAGTTCGGCCTCTACTGGCTTGGCGGTATCTATAATGCTTCCCCCATCTATCAGAGGCGTTAGAGACTACTGTTGGGCGGGAAACGTCCTTGAATTTGGCTCAGTGACCTCCTTTGGAGATATGAGGTTCTTTTACGTGCCGTAAAGCTACGACACGGGACCCACGGCTTAAAGTCCCTCCCGGAGGACTTGTTCCCTGAATTTTTCCGCCCTTAAAAATTCTACGACCTCCGCCGGGTTTGAGCCCGCGTACCACGAGTCATGAGGTGGGAACGTTACCTCTAGACTACGGAGGCCGCTTTGCGAATCTACTTACGGTTGAACATTAACCGCCACATATACCAGTGGTTGTATATTTACGACCTGCTCTAACATATTAAAACTCTGCTTTCTGCCCAGAGTGTATTCGTGTCTTTCGTATGGCTTTCACAGTAAACAGCGACGTATCACACTGAACAGTGTTAAGCGGTTGACATTTGAGGCGGGGATGTAATGTGTTTCCTGTGAGGTAAGATCTGAATTTGTGTATCTTACTTACTTACTTATGGAGCTGAGCCCTTCTTGAGTAGCCGCCAATTCTGCAGCTACTCAAGAATTTCCTAGCATTTTATGGAACCCGAAGGTTCATTACCGTGTTTATAAGAGCCCTCCACTAATCCCTATCCTGAGAGAGATCAATCCAATCCACACCATCCCATCCTAAGATCCATTTTAATATTGTCCACCCACCTATTCCTTGGTCTTCCCAGTGGTCTCTTTCCTTCTGGCTTTCCCACCAATATCCTATATCCTATATCCTATATTCTCCCCCATTCGTGCTACATGCCCTGCCCACATCATCCTCCTTGATTTGATCATTCTAATTATACTTGGAGAAGAGTACACGTTATGAAGCTCCTTATTATGCAGTTTTCTCCAACCTCCTGTCACTTCATCCCCCCTGTTCTCAAACACCGTTAGTGTATGTTCCGAATTTGTGTATATTATTTAGAAGTACATTTTTTAAAAGAGTTAATACAGGTTCTCATAACGTCACCTTGTTAAAAGGAATGGTTTGTAAACTTACTAAAGGGTCGCAACACATTCTTCGACCTCAACAGAACCCAGCTCCAGCCTACAGCAGACTGTTCCTGGTTACTAAAGCGTGATAAGAACATCGCATTCCACAAGACGTACATACAACACAGAGAGCTCTGAACACATTTACTTCCTAAGTATGAAAAGTTATATATACATGTATATTGGCAGTAATACCAGGAACAAATTTTATGCTCGAAGATGAAACCGAACGGGCTGGCATAGCTGTAACGCTTTTGACTGCTCGGTTCGAATCCTGGCCGGAACACCGGCTATAGTAACCGAAGCTTTCGTGGTTTTCTCCAGTCCCTCCAGATCATTGCCGGAACAGTACTTCCACTGGGTCAAAACTGCTTTCTTTCAGTTCGTAATTTGTCTGTCATCCTACCGTTCGAAGCCCGACGTCTTCACTACTGAGATTATCGTAACAAAACCCGCAACGAAAAATGAAATACGGAATTCGCAGATATTTTATAGAGTAAACAACGGTATTCTGTTGCTTTTTATTCAAGATAATACAGTAAAACTAAAGGAAATTACAGTATTTATTACGTTAAAATTATGTCAGATAAATGTAAATACCTTTCTGCACTTCGCTCACGGTTTACCATGGAGCGACAGGGATGCGAGAAAGCACCATGTTTCAAGTAAAAGGTAAAAAAGTTAAAGTTATCCCTGTAACAGACCGTGGAGGCCCATAGGGTTATGAGATGTTGAGGCTCCCACATTTTCCAGACAGTCGGCTCACAGATGGCGGTAAGGCTGTCAGTCTTACGCTCCGGCCGCCCTTTACTCCCCAGGAAGATTCCTGGTACCCATTTCTGTTAGAGGCTGAGTCGACCCCTGGGTCATAGTGCGGCTGGAAGGATTAGGTTTGTAGCATAGTGCCTGAACCAACTATGCTACCGCGTGGAGGCCCGCCATGTTTCAAGTTACGGCATTTTCTATTTTATTTTACTGTGGATGTTATTATGGTATGTTGAAACTGATGAAATCTCAGGTACCAAAAATAAAACTAAGTGTCAGCTGTATAAAACCTTATACTTCCAGCAGTGCTCCTTGGGTCGGAGTGCCGAGCTCTGAGCTGGGCTCATGAAGCACTGCTTGGAGGTTCTGAGAGAAAGATTTAAGGAGAATCTATGGAGCAGTACAAACTGATGGTGTCTGGCGAAGACGTAATAATAAGGAATTATATAATTTATTTAATTACGATATAAACAAAAGAATTAAATAAATAAACCGAGGTGGGCAGGTCATGTTATGAGGCGAAAATACAAATTATAAAAAGAATAATGTTTCTATAACCGGAAAGGAAAAGGAAGAAAGACCAAGAATGAGATAGATGGTGTGAAGAAGAATTCAGGGACTTGGGTGTAGTTAACTGGAAAACAAATATATAAGAGCGGAATGGCTGGAGAAAGATTTTAGAGCAGGCCAAGACCCACAAAGGGTTGTAGGGCCAATAATAATAATGTAGAGACCCTCTGAAGAAAAATACCCTTGTTGGAGCATCGGTTCAATTATTTCCCCCCCTCCCCCTTGACACTACAGCCCAGTGGGCCTAGGCCTACCTCCATGAACTCCGTTCACTTCGGTTTTTCTAGATCTTACACATTCAGTAGGACTCCTTGGGCGGGTGATCAGTTCGTCGCAAGGCCTCTGCCTGTAGACAAACACAGAAAAACGCACACAAACATCTACGCCCTCAGTGGGATTCGAACCCACGGTCCCGGCTTCCG